AATGAAATAAGTAAAAGCAAGGAACTTTGTAGAAATAAACACTATTAAGAGCAATAAAACCAAACTAAAGATAAGGGGTAAAGATATTACTACTATTAAACTTGAAGGATTAAGCAAACATGGACTAGTTGCATTGAAAAGATGAAAGCTTGAAGGAAACTTGAAAAGATCTTGATTACAATGATGGAAACTTGAAGGTTAAGCTATTTTCTCTCTCTAAAATGTTGATATCTCTACAAAATATTGCAATGGAGTAGTGAATAGTTGTTATGAAAATTCAAGCCAAAGACTATTTATAGTTTCTTGATAAAACAAAGAAAACGGGTGAGGGAGAGGCCTCTCCAGCAAGCTGTCGTGCCCTCTCTGCTGTGGGTATGAAGTTAGGAAAACCCAGCTCGCTGCGCCCGCTACCTTGACTGCCGCGCCCGCGGCCACCAGGGCCGTGCCCTCTCCAAGCCTTCTCCCAGCCATCTCCAGAAACTGGTGTTCAGCTCAGGACCTTCCTGTCCGCACCCGCAACTTTGGCACCCGCGCCCGCATGTTGCTGTGGCACGCGCCCTCACCTTTTTACACCTCCTCCTCCTGGAATAAGCCACTCTAGCAACTTCAACTCCGCTTAGCAACTCAAATTCCGCCCACGAGTGCCAGGAGCTATCAAAGCAAACAAATAAGGGTAAAAAGCAAAAGAAAAGATAAAAGAAAAGGAAAAACACGAGGAAGAACAAAAGTACCTAAAACAAAGGTAAAAACGGTAAGAAGAGGTACAAACAAGTGACAAATGAGGGGAATTCATTAGTGAAAAATGGTGAAATGGTGGCGTAAACGCCACTCATCAAAATCCCCGACACTTGCCTCTTGCTTGTCCTCAAGCAAAACTAGGAAAAGAAAGACAAAGCAAACACTACAAAGACAAACATAACATGGCAAGGCTTAGAAAAGCAAATCAAGTTTTAGGGTGGACATATGCTCTATTCGGACTCGACAGGGTAGACAAACGCCAAAGAATACTAGCCTTTCTCATTACATGATGTAAACATGCCCCAAGATGCCAATGGTTGCAAGAGTCAAGTCTAAGCTAAGCATAGAGAACTAGTGATTCATTCTCCGCCCTAGTCCCCTCCAAAACGGTCCGCGTTCTCCCCACTAGCTTCAAATCATCCCCCTAGTTGGCTCCTCATGATTCCACGAAGGAACCGAAAAAAGATTCATTTTAAGGGAGTATAAGGTCATCCCGACATCTCAACCATGCATGCTCTCTCCATAGGGTTGAAATTCATCTCCCTCCACCGGTCTTTGACCACGCCCCTCTAAAGTCTAAGGGTCTTTACTAGGGTTGTAATGACTTGGTTTAAGGTAAAGGTAGAGAAATCATTTGAAAAATTGGTGGCAAATCCTAAGTGAAGCAAGAGAGTGGCCAACTCTCATAAACAAAACTTAAGAAACGACCAAAACTCAAACAAATAACCATCGTTTTGATTTCATTGCATTACCACCCTTTATTCAAGGGAAAAGAACTTTAAAGCTCTCTTTTTTTTTTCTTTTTTTCCTTTTTTTTTTGGTGTTCATTAGATCTTCTTGAATTGCATCTTTCTTTTCAAACTTTCCTTGCATATTCATATTCTAGCTCAACTTTCAACTCTTTGCTTAAACCAATTCTCAACATATTCCTTGCTCATATTCACTACGCTCACAACATTAACCTCACATGCCCAATGCTTCACTAGCTAAAAGGGTTGGTAAAACATAGGTCGTTAGGCTTGTAATGCGATTAAGACAAGAAAGGGAAACATTAGACTCAAAATTGTTAGCAAGTAGGTTGATGAAAAATAGAAAATCAAATTTGTAACTAAACAAAAGGAAATATAAATGAAAATGAGAAAAGGTGCCCTTTTCCTCCTCTAAAGGCGCTAGGTCTTGATCTCGGGAGCTAGAGATCAATACAAGGATTAAGACACGCATAGTCGAGGGATCCTAAAATTCCGCACAACAAAGTGATGAAGGCTTGAACAATATAAACCTCACAAGGGATGAAAAGGTAAGCAAATGCCAACTAAAGGGCTTCAAATTCACTATAGGGAGCAACTCCATCTTACCACTTCCCATGAACTAAGGGTTCAAATGTCCTCAAAAGTTCATAACCTTGCTACCTTAGCTAAGATTCGTCTAATTCAACCAAAGGCATTCTCAAACCGTGCATACCATCATCAAGTAAAGAAGAAACAAGCATTCTAAGGCGCATCATCAAGGAAATAGAATCCAAATGTACAAGCAAATTCCAAAACACATTCATATCATCTTGCCATAATCATGTTTGTCACACAAAAATGAAAACAAAACAAAACAAGGAGGAAGAAATAAAAAAGGTTCGCAAATGAGGCATATAAATCCAAATAAATCCCAATCGACATACAATGATCGTTCGGTATCAACACCAACGATCCCAGGTTCCTTAGAACCAAATGCAAACAACCTCAAACCATTCAACTTCTTCCTATACTAATCCTAAACTAAGCACACCAAAAGAAAGAAAAGAGAAAGTAAAGGAAAGATCTCACCCATATGTCTCTTGAAGAATAATAAAGCAACCTTACAATTTACATGGCTCTAAATGTTGCTTCCAATTTTCTTCAAAGCTACAAAAGAAAGAGATAAAAGCAAAAACAAACACTACACAAAGAGAAAGGTTAGAAAGAAAAAGAAAGAAAAATCTACCAACTTAAACTTTGGGCATAACCAACTACCCAAACACAACTCATTCTCAAATCATCATCATCAAGACATCATTGACCAACAACAAACAAAAAAAAATGCTACCAAAACGCTTATCAACAACACCCAGCAACAAGACCAAAACACAAATCCCTTTATCGTTCCCATGAGTCCTTGGTGCCTTCCCCTACACTTACCCAAAAACACTCCCTTTTAACTCAAACACCGTACCCCCCCCCCCACACTAGATAAAAGCATCGTCCCCGATGCTTCACATGCAAATGAAATGAAAGGGAGGGAGCAAAAAGGGAGGGAAAAACAAACAGACCGAGGGGGAAACTATTGGCCGCTAGGGCCGGCACCACCGTCATCTGCATTCTAACTATCATATGAAAAGCCCGAAGGGCCACCCATAATTCAAGTTCCTCGAGGCAGAATCGGATCATGACACGTTTGTTAGGTTCAGAAAGAACACTCACGAGAGGCCTTGGTGCCAAATATGATGCCTGCATCAACACTTTTGAATGATGCATTATAAAGTCTGCGGTATGCATCTGATCTGGTTCTACTCTCCTGCTTTCAACAACCTGCAAAATCACAAGCAAAAACTTAATGCGCTGCATCGATCACATTAATCTGATCATGCTGAATATAAGTTTTGAGCATTACCTCTTCAGTCGAAGAAATTTCTCTCCAGGAACGTAAAGCCACACATATTTCTCATCTATGTCCACTGAAACTAATCACATATAGAAAATTCACAGATTGAACCAAGCTTACATTGATGATACGGTTGACTAATACATGAAGAATGAGCACTACAAAAAAATTAAGAATAGGCAACACGTAAAATTGCAACACTATTAAAATTGTTTCCCTTGATTGTGTAAGGCAACAATTCATATATGTTACTTTGAATTAGAACAATCAATACTAGATTGCTAGGAAACATTTATAAAAGTGTTGTTGTAGACCATATAAGACAACATTTGCTTAAAGTGTTGCCTTTCTAATATCTAAGGCAACATTCACAAAAAAATGTTGCCTGAAAAGATAACAAAAACAAGATTGTTGTTATGTATTGTAACACTTATAATTACGTTGCCATCTATAATAACAATTTACAAAAATAAGGCAATATATAATATTTGATGTTGTCTATAATGTGTGGGAGAATGATTATATGGATATAATCTTAGATTAAATGTTCATTCAAAGAAGTAGTTTTAAAATAAATGAACACATATTTTGACTTCAGATATTTTGTGCATATTATTTTTTACAATAAATTTTCTATTAAGAAAAAATATAGCAAAAACCTCCTATAGTTTAAAGGACCATCACAGTAATTATACAAAATAGTATGTTGAAAAATTGTGTATCACAAGGTTGAATTAAATCTAGTAATTACATTTCTATTTTTTTTGTCAAGATCGAGTAACATTGGGAGCCCTATCAATTAAAATTGAAATCTATGTTCTACAAAATAAAAGATTATAATATGTGTATTATCTATTTTTTTAATTTAAAATACAACACAATGAGCGGGTTTAAATAATTTAAGAGCAGGTCTTCAAGTTACTTCGAGTTCGAACTTGATTAGTTCAAATTGTTTACAGTTAGATTTGATAATGGGTACGAGTTATTAACGATTCAATACATTTGGTTCAATTTAACTACGATGGAGTTTTTTTTTCCGATAAAGATTTTATAAAAAAAAAGTTATGTACAAAGTATATAAAATGATAGTTAGAGATTACAAAAAAAATTATTTCCTCCGTTCTCCTAAGTGCTACTCACTTATATCATCTTTTTCTTATATATACACAATAAGATATTGTGTGCGGTTGGTTACACCATATGGCCGTTTGTAAAATAACAAAGTAACTCCTATAAAACTAATCTAGTAGTCCTGTAATACTACTCGAGTAACCCCTATAACAAACACTGATTGAGTAAACCTCATATGTGGCCGGCCACATATAAAAGTGGGTGAAATTTTAAAACTTTGACTTTATGAAAGGTAAATGGGTAGCACTTAGGAGAACGGATGTAGTACTAAATATTATATCCGGAGTAAAAAAAATTGTGCATTGTACGAATTTTATCTAGTATATTTTATTTTGTGATTTATTGAGGTACTTCGCATTAAAATTTTATTTTGTGATAGTTTCTTTTGTAAAAATTAAAAGAATATTTCAGTAAACTTAATGCCCACAAATTTATGTTGACAATTTTGGAAAAAACTTGTATATTAGAAGGATAGGATAAGAGATAGAAATTAGACCTTTATCTCCAAAAAAATATATTTAATAAAAATAAAAAAGAGAGAGAAATACTGGCAATCATATATTTCAGGGTAAATTCATCTGATCTGTAAATCGAGAAAATGGTAAAATAAAAAAAGCTTTGGCTCCAATGTTTTCCCACTTAAAATCAGTTACTTATCAGTATCACCTCACTTTCACTGCGTCTCACATTCTCACAGGCTGCAGCACACTCATATTAACCTCAATTGTCAGTTTCTCAAAGGTATCTCTTTTTTCCCTTCATTTTACCAAATTATGAAATTACTTTGTTTTTCTTGGTTAATTCTATTTAATTTTTTTATGGGAGTGCTTTTGGTATAGATTTGTCGATTAGGGATTAAATTTGCTCACTTGTCTGCGGCGTCTCTCATTCTAAATCCGATTCTGGCTCCCTCAATTTATACAAGAAGCATCTGTTGATCTATTAATTTATAGTGGTTATCTCATCCTATATATCAAGGTTAGAATTTTATTATTTTCTCTAAGTTTGTCAATTTTATTGGAATTGGAGTTTGTTTTGATTAATAAGTTTAATTCATTATAATTGGCGAGTGAACATGTTAAATTTCAATGTATATATTCATATCCATAGTGATCGATTTTTTACATGCATTTGATTTGGTTGAAGACCTGGAAGTATTTAAATGAGTTTTGGGTTTTTTTCTTCTTCATTATAATTATTGCTGCAATAAATTTGTTTTCTATGCCCGATATAGATAGGCGGGATTCGGTTTAGTTTTATCGGCTATGGCTATAGTTTTCGAGGGTGCTGGACTTGATCTATCAATGAAGCAGTTAAGATTATAGCCAATGAGTAGGTCGGCTTGGTAGGATCGTCATGGTTGGGGATAATGTGTTGAGAATCCATAGAGAAGACAACCGAGAAAACAGGAGGATAACAATAAAAGATCAAGGCTTTGATATTATATAAGAGAATTTAGAGATAGTTGAAAGTTAGATATTCTCATTAACTTTAGCAAGTACTTTGTATTTATAAAAGAAAGATTACATTGGCTAACTAGTTTTGCTAAAAAAACTTAAGAGTAAGTGTAGGAGTTGTTACGCTAACTATTAAAACACTAAGTAAAAGATAAACTTAAGAATAATATCGACAAGAGAAATTCAAGGAGAAAATTAAGTGTGTATTTTGACTTGACATGTAGTTAGATAATTCTGATATACATGAGTTATAACCATTAACATTGTCAAATTAAGGGAGCCGATAAGATAACAAAGCTAGTAACCGGGTTATTAGATATCTTGTTTTGTTTGAACTTAGTGAATGATGACAGATCACCTTAATAATTTTATAACTAATATGGGATCTTCTGTAGAACAAGCATTGAGTTATAATATGTCTTAACTTAGCTATTTATAGGTTCCAAATGCTGTTTTTATTAGTGTTTGAAAATATTGAAAACTTGTATTCACAATTATAAGAGTGAACAACATACTTTTGTTTTGTTTTCAGCAGGACAAGAAAAAGTCTTAGTTTTAGAAAGAACATTTAAGATGAAGTGAAACATACACACTATACTATGTACTCTTGTGAAAGTTAAATTGAAAAGCATAATAGTTGTCTATGGTTGTCATAAATTAGAGGATTTGTTACTTATTGAATAATTTGATTATGACTGAGTTTTAAATATATTCTTTTATTTATGCATCTCTATGATTCTATGCTAGTGTTATTAGCATTCTTCATATAAATGTATCTGCGGTTCTCTTAGGTGATTGATGTTCAAGTTAAGGTGGGAATCAACCAATTAACAAACTAATGACCTCATTAGTGTGATGATTAATTTTTATTTTTTTATTTTTTTTAATCCTGATATTTTTGGAGATGAATAGATGTTTGACATATAATTTTTGGTATGTATAAATGAATTTGCTATGAGGCTCTGGCTGAATGGTCATTTGGCCGAGCACTCATCTTTATGCTTAGTAGACTATAAGTTCATCTTGACCTTAATTATACTTTCCTAATGATTCAAGTAGCTAGTAAAAATAAAATCTTGTATCATCAATTTTATAATAAAAAGCCATGGTGGATGACATGGATCTGATACATATAAATCTCTGAAGCCCATTTTTTTTTATTAATGATGTTACATCATCAATTAGCCTTGAAACAACAAATATTATCTTGGATGTTGGAACTAGGAATGACCCTAGGTATAGTTTAACTAACCCCATACTATGTCAGCCCCCAATAATTTTAAGCATAAAATGCTTTCATTAACAATTGATATACATTTATTAAAGTATGTATGCTATTAGATAATATTGAAATATCAAATTGATCCAATGATTATGCTGATGATCCGATAATGATAATAGATGCTTAGACTAGGCTGATGATCTGATAAAGTGTAGTGCTATCCACTTGTCTTATTAATATGGTAATTTGCATTTACACTCATAGGACTTATTACTGAAAATGTCCATTTTGAATTGGGAAACTAGCTAGCTTGTATTTTCTAAGTTAATTGTTTTTTATCATTTTAAATTTGGATACGCTTCACTGCTTTTTTTACATGTTTAGGCTGCATATTGGCTAACTTTGGCTAGTCTAACAATTTAAAAAGAAAATCTTAGCCATTTAAAGTAGAATCTAAGAGTCTAACCGGCTTGCAATCCAAGTCCATATTCTAAATAAAATTCCACAGAGAGTAACTGGCTTGCATTCCATGTTGCTCGAAAATTTAATGAAGCGAGCATAACTAAGCTTGGTCCTAAAGGCTCCAAACTTTACTTACAATTCTAATTTTGAACATATATGTTGAGCCTTGAACAATTGAGTTGAGGACTAGTAGTGTTAAGATCAATTAAAAGTAGCTCGAGATTTGGGATGTGTGTTAAAAAATGTGTAGAACTACCCCTAGATTATTTTCTTGCCCAAGGCACCACCCATGGTTCCTGCTGCCTCTAGTGCCTGTTGTTGTACACTGTTGCTACTGCCGCTGCCCACTACTAAACCTCTGAAATGCCTGCACCAACTCCTACACAAACCCCCTTCCTCTGCCTACATGCTTGAATCTTAGAAGGCAGTTGAATTAGGACAATTAGTTGAAGACCATGGGTCTTGAATCCTAGGGCAGCGGTTGGATTATGTCAAATGAGTTAAAATTTAAAATGCCTAAGTCAAATGACAAAGTCAAAGATAGTGTTCCAGTTGGAGATTGGAGTGATTTGAAGATTCTTTTGATATACATTGTCAAGGAGAATATACTTCAAAAAACTGGGGATTAGGGAAGAAAGGGAGGTTAAGAAATTAAATTTGGAAAAGAGCAAAATCGAAATATGTTGTGGATTGACTGAATAGCTATCTGATAACTTTTGGTATTGATTACTTGTTATTACTAAGCCGAGTGTATCAATAACCATGGTTTTCTTTTAATTATGTGCCTTATCTGTTGAAGTTCGCTTCTTAGGCATGCCCATATGTTCCTCCCAAGATTTGTTGTTGCTGTTCACAGTCAAATTTAATTTTTTGATGAGGTCATTAGATATCCATATCCCCTTTTCTATTATATTAGACCAAACTAATAAGAAACTAATTTTTGAAGTGATGTTGTGTTGATGGTACTAGATGTTGGATGAACCTAGATTTTAAGTTATTGGAAGTTTGCCCCCATTTGCTCTTGTAATTTTTATTTTTTTTCAAAATTACAGATATGCTGTACATATAAACATATCTATGACTTTTATACTGGGTAGCTTGGGTGTTATACAGTAAAGAGTCATTAACCTGTTTTGTGGTTTTTTTTTTATTAGAGATTTGCTTTAGTACTATAGTTTCATGTTTTTACTAAAACTAATTTACAAGCACTTTACGCAAGAATTAAGAAGGTGAGGGCCTCTTTGTCACAAAAAAAAAAAAAAAGGTGGGGGCTGTGGGAGGGGGAAGATAAAGAAATTAGATGACAATTAAGCTTAATTACACTCAATGTTACTAACCCTTCATATGATTCATAAATAGTAACCTGAACTTAGAGTAGAATTCTGGTAGGACCTAAAACTTGTTAGTCTTCAAAGGATTCTTGATCTTATAATTTGTTTTCTTTGTCAATGATATTTGTTAGTTTCACCAACAATTTGGGATACATACTATGCCTAAACTATGGCTCAGCCACTTTTTTTTTTTTTCTTTTTGTACATCTAAGGTTAAAATTTATGCTACTCCTCAAATCTTGTTCATTAATCATATGTGGACATTTGGTTTAGAATGTTAGGTTTTATTTTGCTATACTTAGGACAAGATTGTTCTGTGAATGATTCAATGTAGTGTGCAAATGACAAATTTTTATGGGAATCTAGCTTGTATTTTCCAAGTTTTTTTTAATCATATAATAAAATTTGGATCATCACTGCTTTTTCATGTTTTAGGTTGTATGTTTGTTAGCTTTGGCCTATTATGATGTTTCAAATTAATACTCAGAGCATGGCAACTATGTACATCCAAAATATACTTATTCTGCTTCTTTTCTTTTCTTTATTTATTTATACAGGTATTAACAAAAAAGTAAGGAAAGGGAAGAAGAAAAAGAAGGCAACAAGTAAAACGAAGAATGTGATGACATTGATCAAATGGAATTTATTTTAGATTCTCCATCGTTATTCCTCGTTTGGACATTATTTTTTTCTTCTATTTATTAGCTAGACTAATAGTATACTCATCAAGATGGATTTGGTATTGAAAATTAGTTGTTATTACTTTTGATTATATATTCACTATTTTTATTGGTTTGGGATTATCTATTCAAATGCTTATTATTTACTTGTCTTTTGTACTTAACATTTCTCTACTCTAATAACTTCACAAGAATGCAACGATATCTTTCCACTCCTTCAACTTATTATAGCAATATATAAATAATTACAATAGAAAAAAGTAATCAATTTATTTTAGTTTGTTCAATTTGTAGGTAACATTTTCCAAGGCGTTGGCTTTAAGATATTTGGCAACACTTTTGTATTATTACTAGTAAATACAACAAGTGAAAAGGTTATTGCTTATTATGACTTAAGATGACAATTTTGAACTATTACCTAAGGTTGCAACAGTTTTAAGTTGTTGCCTTTGTAAAAGTGTTGCCTTAGATACTATTTTACCTTGCCTTTTAAAAATGTTGCCTTTGGATAAAAATGTGTTGCCTTAAGAATAGACAACGGGGGCATAAACTACGCCTCATATGTGTTGCCTTAGCTACAAGGCAACACTTTTTTAGTATTAGGCAATGATTTTTCAATGTTACCTATGCTTCATTTTGTTGTAGTGGAGATACGGACCTTTCTGAGACGGCGTGTCAGATTTTTGAAGTTGCTCCGTCAATTCCCTTAGATGTTCATGTTTGATAGCACCCTCACAGTCACAAAGGAATGTGATCACAAGAATGCTCTCAATTTCTTCACCCCAGTTTGAAATTAAACTCCGTATTAGGATCCGTTCCTGAAATAATTTCAAAAACCTCAACAAGACTTTTATGGTGTCTTACACAAGGATCAAGAAGTAATAAGATTAAGAGGGAAAAAAAAAACCAAAAACAAACTGAAGTTATTTGTACTAAATATCTTATTAGTAAAACATTGTTACTAAATAAAAACATACCTCAATGTCATTCGATCACACTACAATGCAAAACAAAGAATTAAACATGATAATGCAACAATATTTTAGATAAAATAGAATTTTTACCGAGTCTACAGGTTAGCTCATTAGAGCCGTTAAGATGATAAATGGTAAGAAAATTGTCTTCAGAAGGTAATGCCAGAAATTCATAAAGGTGGTAAACATCAATTGTCTTTCCAATAATGGGTTTGGTGTATTCGAAGTCGATTAGCACATGACAGTTCAATCGAAAGTGAACAACAACCTTACTTTGGGTGTTGTGGACCGTGATCTCGAAACCTCCATTCTTAGTAATGTCCGGCCTTTCTATGTATTCTGGGTTTAATTCCCATTTACGGAGAAATGAAAATGACCACGTCGCTTTGACTACTGGCTTTAGTTGAAAGCTGATGACCCTTTCAAGTTTTGTGTTCGTGACAACCCGTGTTGTGGTGTAGACAAACTCCAAATAGGTGAGTCCTTGAAGGCCAAATCGCATCCTGACTAGTTGGTCTGGTTGGAGATGAAAACACAACATAGGACGCTCTTCCAATGTTGATGCTATCTTCAATGCTTCCAAATGATGCATTATAAAACAAGCTTGAGCTTTCTGACCAAGTTCTAGTTCTCTGGTTCCAGCACCCTGCAAAATCGACAAACAAAATATTTAATTCTCTTAATCATCGATTACAGTAACCTTCTTTTGTAAAACAAGTCATTGAAGATAATTAAGATTGATTACAAAAGAAGGTTATTGTAATCGATGATTAAGAGAATTAAGTATTTTAGTTGTCGATTTTGCAGGATGCTGGAACCAGAGAACTAGAACTTGCGCAATTTTACATCCTGGAAAATGTTCAGCTCGCGTGAATCATTATACACCAAATACATTTTATATTACATGAAACAAATTATATAAAATCATTTACGTAAGATAAATTAACAAATTACGTGAGATTATAATATATGTTCAGCTCGCGTGAATCATTATACACCAAAAACATTTTATATTACATGAAACAAATTATATAAAATCATTTACGTAAGATAAATTAACAAATTACGTGAGATTATAATATATGTTCAGCTCGCGTAAATCATTATACACCAAAAACATTTTATATTACATGAAACAAATTACATAAAATCATTTACGTAAGATAAATTAACAAATTACGTGAGATTATAATATATGTTCAGCTCGCGTGAATCATTATACACCAAAAATATTTTAAAACAAATTATATAAAATCATTTACGTAAGATAAATTAACAAATTACGTGAGATTATAATATATGTTCAGCTTGCGTGAATCATTATACACCAAAAACATTTTATATTACATGAAACAAATTACATAAAATCATTTATGTAAGATGAATTAACAATTACGTGAGATTATAAATATTATAATCTCACGTAATTTGTTAATTTATCTTACGTAAATGAGTTAATGTTATGCCAATTTTTACTACTCCCTCTGTGTTTTTTTTTTATTTGCATTAGTTTGACCGACACATTTGCCGAGACGCAACTTTGACCATTAATATCTTTAACTGTAATTTAACAAGATTATATTATGAAACTAAACATTATGACGAATCTAATGACATCATATAATAATATTGATTTATTTTATAGAGGTGAAAAAATTAAGTCAACCATGATATGTGAATAGTGCAAAAATTAAAGTGATGCATTTTAAAAAATCGGAGTGAGCACAAATTAAACTTTTTATCGTCAAAATGACTTCCAAAATTTTTACCGAGAAAATTATTCTACATGTAATATTTTCAGACACGAAAACCAAGGGATAATTAATAACTGAAGGGATACCATCACATTAGATTATTCAAAGGTTAAATCAACCCTAATTATTTCTCATAAGTTAAAAAACAATATCTATTTTTGTTAAAAAATGCAATAATTCTAGAAACACTCCTAGTCATTATTTATTGAAACGGAGGTATATTCCATCGCTAAAATGCCATTAAACACAATCATACATTCCATATTACACGGAGTAATATATAAGCCGTAGGGTGAGAGTCAACAGGCTTGCATCGTCTCAATTTAATCAAAATTCGCTTTACATACCAGAATCCACAAGTTTCAACTTTCTAAGAACTTCAAAACTCTGAAGAACATCCAATATTTGGGGAAAAAAAAAGGGTTTCTTCAATTGATTGCCTTTTATTACACTACACAAAGTAGCTCCATAAATTATCATTTTCGAAATCAAATGAATGGAGATTGTGTTATACGAAATTTGAGCATTCTTAGAAGATTAAGAAATATTTAGAATGAAGTATGCACATGAATAATTCAAGCAATACAGACCCCAAATATTATATGAAAAGGAGAATACATATAATTTTACAGAAACATTCAAACTATCCTGGTCCTGGTAGCTTTTTTCTGCAGCTACAAGGCGGTCACAGAACTCGGATCAACTGCATGCTTCTCAGTCATTTCTGTACCCCTTCACCATCACCCGAGCCAGGGATCATAAAATTATACATTTAAACCAGCTGGTACATTCAGAGTAATTGATGGACATAAGGACGGAGAAAGGGAGATGGGTCATATACCAGACAAAGAATATATGTAAAACCTGCACTGATTGTAGTCCAGAAGTTGGAAACTCAATCTCCTGCAGAGCGTTTATGTTAAGACGCAACACTATAACTACTTGGGCTGATAAACCAAAGTGAAAATGGACGCCACATTACTAACCATCAACTGTATATTGTCCTTATTGCTAGCTCAGTTGCTTCATTTGCCTGTCATCCACACAACACAGAAGCAGTGGAGACAGTGAAGTGAGAATCAGAAAGTTGATTTACAAAATGATTACAAACAAGTCACTCAACAAGTAAGCGCATGGATTCCAGATCATATAGAAGCACACATTTTGCTCACTAAGATACATTAGAAGCTTTTAGGGCCTATTCACGATTCATGAACTGCACTCTAATTCCTTTCGACTACAGGCCTCTACTGTGAATTATAACGAACATCACAGTTATATATCCATCTATAAGGTACATTAGCAGTTCAGCTCCCCATTATCCATTCTTTTTTCATATTCAGAACAACAATATTATTTCATTGACTCCAACAAACACTCAAGATTCAAAAAAGTCCAACAAGAAACCAATCAAAACACCTCATTGCTACAACAGTAATGTCTTTACAATTGTAGCTTCCAGGAAATCAAATTATCAACAGATTATAACTAACACACAAATTACTCAAAAACTTGCATTCTGGTTTGGCTGAGGATCAGAAGAGGGGTTTAATAAAAGAGGGCTTTAATAGCGGTTATGAGAGAACCTATGTCATTAATGTAGCGTTTTTCTTTAACCGCTATAATTCAACCTTTTCAACTATATTAATAGCAGTCATGGCAAGCAAAACCACTGTAAAACAAAAAAAAAAAAAAAAAAAAAAGGCTATAAAAGCTATAATTTGGCATAGGGGAAAGGGTTTAAAATAATACTATCGTCTCCTTACCCAAACTTTAAAAAAATATTCTCCCTCCTTCCTCTATTTCCTCAAACTCCCTCTTTCTCTTTCTCTTTCTCTTTCTCAATCTTTCTCCCCCCTCTTCTCCTTGCTCCCTTTTTTTATGACTTCATACCTTATCTCTCTCTTCACTTATATCATCTAAGGTTATAGAATATGACATGGCTGCTATGTGAAATAATTATAGGATATGCCTGATAAGGTAATAGCATTAATAAATCAATCAAAGCCTTATAAGTGGGGTCGGCTACATGAAACAAAAGTGATTATTCCGTATAGTCATCCACAAAAATCTTCCTCCTCCATCCCGTACGATCAAATGCATCATTCTCATGATTGATTGAATAAGTTTAAAAAAAAAAATCTCAAAACTATATGATTGAAGTAAATAGAAAAATCTTAAGACCATAAGTAAATAAACAACAAAACAAATTGATCATATATGCATGGAATTGGATATCTTGAGAGTAGAATCAAACCCATCAACATGGAAAGTAGCAGTAGCAGCTTTCTGGAAGATTGAAATTCAACAGCATTACACTAAATTCTCCACCTCGGATCAGACTATGCTTGTATAAGGTCAAGTGGTAACCAAATAATATGTCAGTAAGAAATGGATCAGATGCTAAGTTAGATCCATCATGCACAAATCAATTATTACCTAATTGTGAGTTTGTGGTCTGTATGCACCAGTTGCTCATCCAAGGACTTGATCCAGGATCTGCCAAGCTATAGTCTATATAATCAGCACTGCATTAAATGAAAGAAACAAAGAAAAGGTAAATAATAAATCCACAAGTTAAATTGTAAAATAATTCTTAAATAATAGATTCAAGGTTTGTGAGAGATGAATGTATAGTCACCACATGCAAACTTGAATCTATTATTATAGCAAGCATACAAATTCACAATGCAAGGACCAAATCCATATTAAAATAAACATTAAGTATGATACTTTATACAACAAGTGACACTCCCAATTTTAGAGACTAACCTCTTAGAAAAATGTGCAGAGATAATAGAAGAGGCAATTTTAAATAAATTGATTTCGAGTGTTGAGCTTATCAAATTTGAGATTATTAATAGAAGGCTAACAGAACATCCAGTATTAATGTTGATACTTAAAGGCACATAAAATAAGCTGATTCTTTAAGGCACGGCTATATACAATTCCAAATAAGATTGTTAAGTTCAATGTCACTATCATATCCAGGCAATAAAAGCTATAGTTCTCCCCTGTGCGTGAAATGTGAATAAAAATGGCATTTCCGAAAACGTAAAGGATGCAAACGTCTTAAAAACCCTATTAAAAGTACATAAATACTAATGAAGCTGCTAAATTTGTGTGACCTTTTGTACTCTCTCTCTCTATCTCTCTCTCTCTCTCTGTGTTGCTGGTAGAAGAGACCCTGATAGACCACAAATGCTACACACAATTTAGAAGCTTGGAACATAATGAGAATATTTAACTCAAGCCTTTCTATGAATTGACCTTAAAGTTCCGAGCTTTTATCTATTATAAGAAATTTGGCTTTTATATGAATTCTTCTCACTGGTATTCAAATTTATTCTGGCCATATATGACATCATGTTCTTAAATATGGTACAAGCCAAATATTCTGAGATAGGCAACATGAAAAAAGTATAGGTCATACACATAATTTGTGATTTCTTTGGAAAATATGTCTATGCAAGTTCGTACTTTCCACTTTCCAAACTCTCAAACACTAAGAAGCAAAGGGCAGGAGCAACCATATTAAGATAAGGTTAAGAACTTAAACTTAACAAAATTTAAGTTTTTCCAATGGTACAAATAAATCAGCAAAAACATATACCCTCAAAGAATATGTCAACCAAATGAAGATTTTCTACAAATTTTCTAATTAAAATAATTATTTCACCACAGTTCACTAAGACTAAATCAAACATTACCTTCTCTAGGGAAAATAGGACACACGGTTAAAAGTTCAGCCATGACTGCACCAATTGCCCACATATCTGCAATAATACATAAACATTAAGCAACTTGCAAGGAAATGGAGAAATGGACAAATAAACATCCTCCTAATATAGGACAAAGGAACGTAAACAGATAGTATACGCAAGTGAGTAGAAAAAGAATGCTAGAATTCACATACTACCAGCAGGGATATTATACCAATTAAACAAAAGAAACAATAGAGCACTTAATTAATGACATTATCAAGGCAGCGAAAGACATTACTGATTGATGAAAAAAGGACCGACACTCAATGAAAAAATTAAAAATAAAAATTTAGAGCTCAAACCAATTGCAGGAGTGTAAGTTGAAGACTTTAAGAGAACTTCTAGGGCCCGGTACCTGGAAAACAATACAAAAACTTATATGAGATGTACTTGATAGCTTTAGTGCTTTACACACTATCGAAGATGCAGATGCACATAAAACAATTGATGATAATTGCAGGAGCTCTTTAGCATAGTACATAATTATAATGTATATGCATAGAATAGATATGACCCAAAGGGGAAGAATTTTATGCACTCACCAGCGTGTTGAAACATAATTAGTACAAGGAGGCATTGATGAAAGCTCCCTGGCGAGTCCAAAATCAACAATTTTGATCACATCATTCGTTACCAAAAGATTCTCTTTTATGGGCAAAATTAAAAGAAATTCGAAGGTTAGAGTGAAAAAAAGGCACATTTAGAGGACAGAACATATTTGATAGTCACTAAATGAAACTTTTGATGTGCTGAAATCCGAAAGCATGGCTAAATATCATACCAGGTTTTAGATCCCGATGAAAGTATTCATTCCTATGCAAGTGTGCCAGCCCTTGAAGAACCTGGGTCAAGAGGTTTCTTATCTTGTTCCGAAAAGGTCTCTGTCGTTCCTTCATTAAATGATATAGATTGCATTCCAGTACAGGTTAAAAACTATAAAGTCTTTCATCATCTCTATAGATGAGAAACTGTAAAGTCTTTCATCATCTCTGTCGTTCCTTCATTAAATGATATAGATTGCATTCCTGTACAAGTCTCTGTCGTTCTTTCATTAAATGATATAGATTGCAAGAGACTGGATATACTCTACAGCGGCATTCATGCATTGTGTTTTTTTTATCATGATGAGAACTGCCATTTAGGACATAGAACCAATCTTTAAGAGGTACACCACTAATCATAGCTAAATTACCAAGTTTTAAGGTTAAAAACTAAAGTTAAGTGAGTAACTGAATATTACACATGTTACCAAGATTGCAAAAAAACACGACACCATATATTCAAATATAAAATTATACTCACAAAGCTATTCATAAAGATGATTTCACTAACTATAATTGAAACCCTGATCTAAAATTAGAATGAAAATCCTAATCCAAATACACCTAGGGATAGTTGCAAGATTGATTAATCATTTCATAGATGTCTCTCTATACCAATTACATTGAATGCCAAAATGAAATGGATACCCAAATTCAAGAATAACGTATTGATTTTCCACCTTAGGTTATGGGTTTTTAAGCTCAATAATGAATAAACTAACGAAGAAACAATTCATCCTTTGTCAACCCTAAAATATAATATTTGTAACATAGTACTGTCATTTCAAAATTACAAGTCCTAGGTTTACTAAACAAACAGATTGATCAATAAAAGGAAAATCAAAAGAGGGGGCATAAGCAACACATACACATATTCCAATGTTTGAAGAAGCTGCTGCAATAGCGGAAGAAGGGAGGGGAGAGAGTGAATCTAAGCGAGGAAGAGGGTTTTTTCTGGGTCAGAGGAAGTGGGGATTACGGTTTTAGGGTGGGAATTTGCGGTTGAGGTTGGATTTTTGGTGGTTCTGGGGGAAAATGAAGGTTTTGAGGAGTTTCCCGGTGGTGGAAGCGGCGGCGGAGGTGGTGGGGAAAATTGAAGGTGTCTTGAATTGCGAATTACAAGGCCAGGAATTGGAGAAATTGTCTCAACCGCCCATTTTAAAAAATTATAAAAATAGGAAATTCTGGACAAATGTAAATAATTTTAATCCTGATAAGTAAGGAAAATAAATTAGGAATAAGTAATAAAATTATAAAACAATCCTTACTAATTTCTACCCTTTCAATTTCATTAAGGGCAATTTGGTATTTTTCAACTCATTTCTTATTCCTTCTCCTTATACCACCCCTTAGCTATAATACCAACTTTCATATGTAGCTGGTCACGCCGTGTGGCCAACCACAATTTCTATTTTATTTTTTATAATTTTCTCTCTCTCCTCTCCTCTCCTCTCATTTTCTCTTTCTAACTTTCTGTCTCTAACTGTCAATGGCCGGAGCACCGACTTCCACCATCGTTGTCTTCGTTTCCGCCGTCATCGTCTTCGTGTTCGTCGTCGTCAAAGCTCCTCAAAGCTCCAAACCAACCCAGATCTCCTCTCCAACCAACCCAGATCTCCTCGAAGCTCCAACTAACCCAGATCGCCGTCTTCGTCTTTGTCGTCCATTTCCGACGAACAACTTTTAGTAGGGTTGTGCAAAATTATCCGAAAATTGAAAACCTGAAAACTCGAACCGTAACCGAACCGAAAATTAGGGTACCCGTTCCGATAACCATAACGGTTCGAGTACCCGATCCGATAATTTGTTATCGGATACAGTTATTGGGTATCATTTTAAAATTAACGGTTACCCGATCCGATTTGATAAGTAATTTTTTCTTTTTTTTCCAACTTAAATCTAATTATCCAAAATCTAAACTCTTACTTTACTTCATAATCACTTCATAATTTAGATGATTAGTAATATTATTATTAGTAATTTGGTCATGATCATGTGGTATCATTGTTAATTAGTGTTGAATTACACCATAATAACTAAAATTTAAAGTCTATTGGTTCAGTTAATGGATATCATTTTTAATGTTATTGGTTATCGAGTACCCGAACCGTTAATATTAATGGTACGGGTACCCGTCCCATGCTCACCCCTAGCTTTTAGGGCTATTCTTGATGTTCGGGGCAGAAATCTCCATGGATTGGCAGAGATTGGCGCAAATTGAAATTGAAATTTACTTTCCAGAAATTGAAAACCACTGAAGCGTCGCAACTGACCACCGCACCACCACTCCACCTTCGCGTAAGGGCATATGTATATGGAAAATGCTACATATATTGTGATTAGAACAATTTTCTTTTTTAGATTGTATACGATGGCTGAGTTATGTGTATGCTTGGTGGTTTGGTGGCTACCTTAGCGGTGGAATTAATGGTTAGGTCAGGGGTTACTAGATCCGGTCAGGGGTTATTAGGTCTGGTTAGGGGTTACTAGGTCAGGGTTACTAGGTGGAGTCAAGGGTTACTAGGTCCGGTCAGGGGTTACTAGGTCAGGGTTTACTTGGTCAAGGGTTACTAGGTCCGGTCAGGGGTCACTTGGTCAAGGGTTACTAGGTCGGAGGGGTTACTTGATCAGAGGGATTACTTGGTCAGGGGTTACTTGGTCAGGGGTTACTAGGTCGGTGGGGTTACTTTTGTCATGTGTTAGCTGGCCACACACAAAACCTCCTGTAGTTATAGAAATGGGGGGATAAGTGGTTGTTTTTATCTCTATCCCTAAGACCTTAACTCCTACTAATCCCCATCCATCTAAACAAACATTACTTTTCTTCTAACCCCATCTTTTATCCTTATCCCACCCCTTTTATCCCCCTAAACAAACACCCTCTAATTGTTGCCTTAATTGGGTTCATTGGCAGGTTTTGGCGTAATGCTCCTTTACTTATTTTTTTACCTTATTGTTATGCTTATTATGATTATTTTGTTAGCTTCTTTGTTTATTTTTCAATAGAGGGTCCGGTCATCAGGCCCCTAGCTAGCCGGGCTTACCTGGAGTATTGCCTCGATAGTTTCTCGGGTTTTCTTCGACGGAGAGTCTATGGGCCGTTTAAATGGCTCGTGATTAAGAATTATTTGAGCTCTACTAGCATTTGTCCTGAGTTTAACCAAACTTATAGGATCTTTTACCAAAACGGCTAATTTTGTAAAAGTATTTACCAAAACGGCTAATTATAAATTTTAATTCCAAAACTAGTTAAAATGTTGATTTGGAAGAAAATTATTTATTTCTTATTTTCTTTTGAACCGGTTTGGTTCACCTTTTTGGTTTTTTTGTTGAAAAAATTTAAAAGCTATATACAGATACACGAAAAGTTGCTCATAAAGAAACCCTAATTTCAAGATCACACAAAAAAATAAAATAAAAAATTAATAAAAAACACATTTTTTTTCTTGATCCTATCACAAAAAATTGGAATTTGTAGTAGTATTGTTCTATCAACACAATCGCAAATTTATACGGCGATAAGGGATTTTAAGGTGTTGTTCATCTTTTTCATGTTCACTAATTGCATGCTCTCTACTAATGTCGCCTAAATTTTGTTAATTGGAAGTTTCGAACATTTTTTTGATGAGTGATTTTTTATTTTGTATAACTTTATAAAAAAAATTGAAAATTGTTGCAATTATACTAGGTAGAATGTTATTTTAAAAATTAATGGATATTTTAAACTATGGATTTAGAATTTTTCAAAAAAAAAAATAAAACCCAAAAAACAGAGAATGTTGTGGGCAAGTCGGAATTTAAAATCCATATACTACATACACAATTACTGACCTTTTCCAACTAAAAAAATTAAAAAAGCAAAATCTAAAGTAAACCCAAAAAAAAAATATTTAAAATAAACCCAATAAAGTGAACCTTTCCGGTTCAAAGGAAAATAAGAAATAAATAATTTCCTTTCAAGTCAATTATTTAGCTAGTTTTGGAATTAAATTGGCCGTTCTAGGAAAAACTTTTGTTAAATTAGTCATTTTGGTAAAAGATCCAAACTTATACTACGGCTCAAGATTTCTTCAATGCTCCTCTTTCTTATACAAGTAATTTTATTTAGCACAATGTCTTATTTTATTATCTATTATTATTACTTCATACTTGTGTTTAGTTTGTTAATTTGTGTTATTATATAATTAGTTAGCTTAATATAGGTGGACATGAAGAATAATTAATTACTGAAGTATACATGTTAATAAAGCATGCATAGAATATTTGTGGATGCTTGATTATGAAGATATATATGTTGCATTTTTGAGTTCTTAATCTTGACTTTAAGAAGTATAATATAAACGTGTGTTGAGAATTGAGATTAGTGCATGGTTCCGCATTTAAGGAAAAATTGAGTGAAATGACCAATTGTAAGGCTAATGGACAACCTCATTGGATGTAACCTTGTTGAGATGTATGTGGTCAAACTCTTCTTTGTCGTAGGCTTTTACACTATGAATATTAAATATATCATATCCTAAAAATTACCGCTAATTGCTCATGAATATTCAACATTTGTACATTACCTTTATACAGGGGACAAAATACCTGTCAGATGACAAATTAAGCTCCTTAAGCTAATAAAAACCCTAACCCTACCTAGCAGGTGGCAGCCCTTGTCGTTTCCGGAAGGCTTCATTCCTTTCCCGCCGTTTTAAAATAAAAATTTTAAAATAAAGTTGTATTTATGAAACTTTATATCAATACCTATCTAACAACATATTTTATGATAAAATATGTTGTTATTATGTTAATAAAAAAAATAATAATAAAAGTTAATTAATGAATAATGAAAGATAGTTACATGTCAGTTGTTTTGAAACTGAGGTATTAGATGTTAATATGTTATAGTAGATTAAATACTGCGTTCCTTCTTAGTAAAAGTTGGAGTTAAGTTTAGCAAAAATAAAGTTACCTCTAAGGAAAATAATAAGGTTACCTCTAAGGAAATGTTTGCAATGCATTGCAATGCTAATTGGACTTCACTTCTCCTTTCTTGGGCCATTTGCCTCAATAGTTTGGATGGGTAATTAGTTTACTTGATAGTCCATGCATCTTGGGCTGAGAAAGCTGTAAAGGCCCAATTATTAAAAAATGGCTCTAATATTTTTATTTTAATATTCTAGAACAACATCTACACTGATTTATGACAAAATGCTAAGGAATTTATTTTTATTTATTTATTTTTTTTTTGAGAAAATGCTAAGGATATCTTAGATAGTAGGCAAGAGATAACCAATTTCAAAAGTCCTAAAGTGCATGATTTATGTCCTAAAGTGTTTGATACTTATCTACATAATCTACATATTTAACCAAATTAAATGTATATAGTTATTTGATCCAAATCGAAAAGATTTGTATGATTTATTAGACAAAATTATAATTAATCAATAATTGAACAATCAAAAACTTAATTGTAGATTGAGGGTCAATATTGTTTTTATATTTTATAACATCTCTGGTCAAATTTCTCTAACGAGGTCAAAGTCGGCAAAATTTTAATTTGGGTGTAACAGCCCCCTCATAAGAGAGGGTCGATTATTGACCGTAAAATAATAAATAATAGGTGGATGAAATTGGAACTGACCATGATATTTTTTTTTTTTATTTTTTTTTTAATTTTTGTCACATTAATATTTGATGTCATGTTAGAAGACCAATCCAATCTGATTCAAGTCCTACGATTGTTTTATCACTTACTAGTACATTATACTACATCAAAATTGACAATTCATATATGTCTCTGTCACACCGACTTAAATCACTAACATTTTTACCTTTCTCTATTCCAAAACTAAAATTCCTCTACTTTGATCATTATCCGATATCATTCTTATAGTTTCTATTCTTTTAAACACGTCGTAAATCCCATTTTCTTATTCTTGTCGATTTCATTTCACAAAAGTTTATTATTTTTACTTTGTAAGGTACTCCACAATGTACACCAATTCCGAAAAAGGCCATATTTTTCGAAAGAAAAACAAAATTAAGGCTTAATCTATCAAGCCTTACAACATCAAATCAGTGAATTACCTAAATGTAAGTGTAATTTTTTATCTTTTGCATTAAAGTTAACTTGATAGTCCAAAAATATACTAAATTAATCTTTTTTTATTTACTTTGAAAAATCTATAACAACTTTTGCGCTGTCATATTCTACTA